CTTTATTTAGAGCATCAAACATCTCTAGGTTGAGGGTCCTTCTCTTTTATCTGTGCCGGGTAAACCTAGGATCAATTGTAAAATGGTGGCAATTCACTTCTGGTCCAATGTCAACCACGTCCCCATGCCTGCAAACAAAGATATCCAACTTCTTGTACAAGAAGCCTTTGAGCTTTTCTTTCATTTCTGGTGGTAGATCCATTTTAAAGGTAAGGCATTTTAGGAAATGCCTCCATCTCTACCGTAAGAGTTTTTTTACTCTTTGGATGATCTTATTACTGGTAAACCAATATAATGGAGAGGTCATGGAAGTCAATTCATGATCTACCATCATCTTGTTGTAGGTGGCACCGAGTAGGATGTTCACAAAATTTTCAATTTCTACCAACATGGACTTTAGCCCATTTCATGCTACAATAGCCCTTACTACTAAAGCGTTGCAATGGGAATACTGAAGACATGTTACGTATTCTTGGGTAAATGTGATGAACTAGACATTTTCGACTCGTTGGGGGGTTTCTTTTTCACCTTTGCCCATTTCTAAGCCTTTCACTATCCTCGTCCCTCCTATGTGATAGGGGATCTTCTCTAGAAGATTACATCACATGATCTCACCTAAGCGGTTGCGCTTGCATAGATAAGGGTGAATTTTCTTTTACGGGGTGATCATCTCACCTCGGGCAGCTCTTGGCTCCTCATAGTCACTAGGTTCAACCTCTTTATAGGCTACAGTTGGTACAGTGTTCATGGTAGCAAGGGCTTGGTCCGAAGTAGGGATGACTGTATGCTAGGCTTAGGTCCATTGTTGGTTCAACAAGTGAGAGGTAGGGTATCTTTCTCTTTGCCTTTGAGGTAATAGGAGTCCCATGACTATCCTATTATGATGATCGATCATCTCTTCACTGACGGTCTCACATTTCATCATCTCCACCAATTCATAATAGGTGGTGAGGTTTTTTGTTTCGAGCATCCCTATAGAAGAAGGTATTGAGACATCTCTTTAAGGTGGAGAGGACTTCTCTATCAGTGGCCTTTTCACGGTAGGTCGTCTAATTGGTGAAACGAGCCAAGTAAGTTTTTAACTTTTTACCGACTGCTTGCCTCATGTTTTGGAGGTGATGAATGAAGGCTTCTCCGTCCTGGATAAGTATTGATTCAAGAATGTCTTCTTGAGGTCGGGCCAACTTTGATACTCTCAGTTGGATTCTACTATACCACCTCTTAGTCGCTCTACTAAGAATTAGGTAGAAGGCTCTGCACTTTAGGACGGGTAAGGTACTTCTCAAACTCATGTAAGTTTTGTAAGTACTAAATTGCTCTTTTGGATCACGTCTACCATTATACATGGAAATCTTAGAAGGTACAAAATGGCTTAGTACATGGGAACTTTGTAACTGATGGAAGAATGGGAGGTTTTTATCATCGTCATTAAGTACATAGGACCAATATGGTCCATATAAATACTCAACATCAACCAATACCAAGGTGGTTGGAACGGTCCTGCTTGATCCCTTGCATCCTTTGATGACCTTCTCTCTCGCCTATTTCTAGGCGGGGATCATTTTAGAGCATTTGCATTTGTTCATTAGGCCTTATCATAGGAGGTGGCTATTTGAGCCTATTCCTAGGCTCATTTGAATCAATCCTATCGAAGATTCTAGCAAACCTTTAAGGTCTCTGCTCTCATTTATATTCATGAGGAATGTTAACCTTTATATTGAACAAGTCACTCATAGGTCGACTAGATATATAGTTTGTTAACACATGCACACCTACCTCTCTCTCAATGGGACTGGCATCTCTCATATGCCTATGATATTGAGATGTATCACTTTGAACCTCTTCTTCTTACTGATGGAAAAGGCTAGGCTGAGGCATTTATTTGGGTATTTAATAGCCCACATGTTCTTGCATTTGGAGGAGTTGTTGTATAAGTACATTTTTCTAGGTGATGCTCCTCATATTTGAGGTCATTTCTGCCAGCTCTCTAGTGAGGCGTGTTGCAACCCTTCTACCTCGACGATGTTGGTAGTGAGGTCGATGATGGGTGAATTAGTTGGGAAGACCTCTTTTTCAGAGACCACCCCAACCTCCTTGGATTTCTATCTCCATCACTAGCAATCAGGATGGGTGGATGCCCCTTTTATTTAAAGAGGGATTTTAAGTAGATTTCTCACTCTAAATATACACTCAAAGTACTGAATAACACTTAAAATCATTTTCTCTTTGAAACTCCCACTTGTCCTTTATTCAAGAACAAAACATTTCTTCAAAGGGGGTTGGAGCACTTTTTCAGCAAGCTTTGTTAATGGGGTTGTTTCTGATTATAGTATGGTTTTCCACATACAGTGCAAATCTATTAACCTCAATTTTTTTAGAGGTGACCAAAATATTCAAGCTCCTCTTACATCCGCATAAGCTTTTTCTACACACTTGGATAAATCATAAGTCGCATGTGGCCTTCTCCGACATTGACGAAAGTGGTCGCAAGCACTCCGATGGTCAAGTCAATCAAATGTAATAGTATATTGGGTGTCGAATGTCTAAATACATGAGCCACTAAGTAAGAGGGGTTGGATCAGGGAGTGTATGTACAGAAGTAATGAGAGAAAGTTTATAGTTTGAGTGTATAAAGTTACATTACCTTCTAATAGCACTAAGTGTGAGTTTTTATGGCAAAAATTGTAAAATACTGACTGTTGGATGGAAAGACACGTGGTCTTATTTGATGATTGAGGCATCCTCTCTTAGGCATCAATCTATCCATCATATGTTAGATGGCATTTAATGTTTCTGAAAAATAATCACCATAGTGCCTTGGTCTAACTGCTGAATCATAGATTGAAGGTTTGACCTTTAGGCGTTTACTATAAAGATGTCACGTCAATCAATTATGGAAGGATCTTGTGTAGAAGATCTTTAGGAATAGCTGACATAGGATATTTGTTTGTCAATGGGGAGGTTGTTGCCTCAACCTCCTTCCCTACAGCATGCGTAGCACCTCGTCTATGCCATAGAGGTCGGCTTCTACATGGCACCTCGGCAAAAGTGATGCATCACCTTATCTAACTTACATGTGGCCTCATCTCAATCAAGTAAGAGGATGAGTAGAGTGAGGGCCGGTTGGCTTGCCAGCTGGCTGTCATGTGATGGTAATCTAGAGCCTCGTCAAGAAAAGGCGTAACAATTGTAACTAGCAACGCTCACATAAGAATATATACTAGTTATACATTTATCTAATCGCTAATAGTATTCAAATAAAGTTAGTACTGTCGTTATAAAATTTACTTATTATGATATTTGGAACGAGAAAGAGGTGAAATGAAAAGGTCTCAGGATTCGAGGCTCAACTTCTTATATGTAGAATATGCACTCTCCGAAAATTCTTAATCACTCAACATTTGTTTACGTGTTATATTTTTTTCTATTCATATGTAGTGAAAGATTAGAGAAAATACCTTATTTCTTACGTGGAAGGAAATAATTGTTAACAATTGAACTATTATTTTTCATATTCAAAGCGAATTATAAACATTGATGAAGTTACATATAGCCCTTGTTTAGGATCCATTAAAATCGAATTTTGGGGAAAAAATGTATTTGGGAATAGTGATTTTTTTCAAGAATGTGTGGTTAAAAAAGAAGATTTTTTTTTCTTGAATTTATATGTAATATTATTTTATTGAAGAATGTGTGGTTGAAAAGATGAGAGAAAAATATTTTAAAACTTTAATGGATCCCAAACAAATGCATAGTGTGTAAAATTTTGTTGGATCCTTGTTGAAAAGGTCAATTTAATCGATGGTCATTCCCAACAACCCTCGATTTTCTAATAAATCTTGATTTTTCACAGATCTAACTGAAATTTGGCAAACTTTACATCATGAAGAATCAATTAAATTATTAAACGAATGCAAACGCGTTGTAAAGATACTATGATTTTTATATAGGACAGGCAACAACATGTATTATATGAAACATGCTACATGTATATTGTTTTTATATTAACTTTGACATCCTTTCACGTGACACTCGTTATAGCTTTTGATTTTCTCAACGCCCTTTCTTTTGACACAAAGTAAATGTCATCCTTAATGTAAATAATAATGTACATCTAGAATAATTCATAGTATATACATATGTATGCACTATAAAAAAGAATAAAGTTGCCATGTTTCGAGTGTTTGTGGAGCAAATATGCCACAGTCCATACGAGATTTTGCTAAGGGAAAAGTTCAAAATTCAGGGGTTAAAAAGACACAATTCAATTTTCAGGTTTCAAGTTTCAAAATTCAAAACTCAGGTTTTAGATAATTAATTAAAAATATTTATTAATTAAATTTAATAAGGTCACAATTATACAATTAATGGTCACAGACACATAATTATAGGTCACATATTATCAAATTACCTGGTTACAGATTATTTCGAAGTCATATTTTATTCTATCGGTCACAAATTAAAAAAATTATAGGTCACATTTTCAAATTTATTAGTCACATACACATAATTATAGGTCACATATTATTAAATTAACTAGTTATAGATTATTTCGAAATCATATTTTATTTTATCGGTCATAGATTAAGAAAATTATAGGTCACATTTTATCTTATGGGTCACATTTTCAAATTTATTACCCTCACCCTGCCGCCACCACAGCAGCACCAACGCCCCAACACCACCACTAACAAAGCCGCCACAAACAACCACCACGAACAACCACATCCACCACCAGCGTCTCCAAAAGAAACACACCACCGCCGTCGCCACCGTCACTGTCGCCACCGTCGCCTCATCACCACCCGAAAAAAAAAAACAATAATATGCTTCACCACCACCACCACCCAAAATCAACAGCTGAGTTGACCAATTACAAATAACCCGTTCCACCGTGCCTCGCCATCCATCCTGATCGGCCAATCGAAACATCCAAATCGACCAATCAAACCAATCCCTACCTCCCCATCCACGCACATAGCAGCGACAAGAATCTAAGTTTATGACAGAGAAACCTCCCTCATGGCAACCATAGGCTTCACCGTCGCCTCCACCAGATCGTCGCATGCAACAGCTGAACAGCACCAACAAACCAGCGACAGCACCAACAAACCCCGACACCACTAAATACACCGCCACCAGATCGTCGCACGCTGCTATAAAAATTTCATAGCAGAGATTCACTTACAGAGAGAGGAAAGGGGAGGGGAGAGGAGGCGCAAAGAGAGGGAAGGGGAGAGGAAGCGGAGTTGGGGAGTGAAAAATTAGGGTTATGACTTTTTTATATTACCTGATTTTTGGACAAATAAAGTTTGAACCTGATTTTTAAAAAGCTATTTTTAAATACTTGGATTTATGTAATTTCCTCTTTCGCTAACGTGAAGTGGGCCCAACCTTCATACAACTTCCAAAATACCTCTATTTAGAAAAAAGAAACTTCCAAAATGCCTAAATTAGTGCAAAAAATAAGGACAACACTCTCAACCTTTCAAGTGGTATGTTTACGTCTTCAACTTTTAAAAATGAGGTTAAAATTCAAAATTAATATGTGAATAGATCATCACGTAACCGAAAGCCAAGTTGGCAACCTATTTTAATATGTGAATTTAGATCTCCATATATTCAGAACCGTCATTACGGAAATTAAATCAGATGCGACTTTCACTTGAGTTTTAGAGAAAAATTTAAGTGATTTGATGATTTTGTCATTCAACTTCAAGTTTTCATGTGATTTTAACATCTACACTAATCATATCGATCATGTACTGGCTCAATTTAAAATAGGTTGGAGACTGATATCTTCATTTTGAATGTTTGAGACTCACAATCACAACATTTGAATCATCGGAGAGTCCAACCCTAATTTTTCGAAATTGAATTTCAATCAAAATTTTCTCATTCTAAAAGCATGTTTGAAAAATGTTCATGAACAGTTTAAATTGTAAATAGATTACAATTGTTTATAGATAAATTAATAATAATTGTGAATCCCCAAAATGTATACATGAAAAGTATCTTGAATTTTTATAAATATGAGACGAAAGCTAAGACTTCATTACAAGTTGAACAAAAGGACAGGTTTATTATTAATGGTGTACTTTCGATCTATGATTCTATGAAACATCATTTCTCAAACAAATAGCAAAAGATTCCTGGTTTATGCTCCAATTGGCCCCAAAACATATGAAACTGACTTAGAAGATTGAAAATTGCCAAGAAAATACGTGTTTCTAGGTCTAATAAGATAGGTAACAATAATTCGAGAGGATACTATAAAAAGTTAAAAAGAATGATTTTACATACTCCAAGGCATTGGCGGAGGAGGGGGTTGGCGGCCTCCATCCACTACATCCGCATCTTGGTTTCGCCACCTATGTTGCATGAAAACGAAACAAGTCACGACACGACACGACACGACACAGAAAACCCAATTAAGGGGGTGGTTTGCTCACCATTAAAGTAGTAATGAGTTGGGTTAAAGACGACACAAATATATTTACACAAGAATATTTATTTTATTTTACTGAAAAGAAAGAGAATTATTAGAGTAGAGAGAACAAAACTTTTGATGTTATGAACGACGTCCCATTTTTATTTTATTTTATTTTTTGCTATATAAAATGTGAGCATAGGCGGTGGTTCGGAAGAAGAAGGGGTTACCTTTTCAATGGAAATTGTAATCGTACTGATCCCATCATGTCTTTCCAGAACCCAGTGATTCGGACCATTGAGGGATTCCATCCTAACACATCAAAACCGAATGACTTTTATATCAAATGTTTTGAAACGGAACATAAACCTTCCAGCACTTTGCTGCTAAGCCATCATATGCTGTGAAATAATCTTTAATTCATAATGTATATAGTGTATGTTCGGTAGAAATTAAAATTTAGATTTTAATTTAAATCAAATTCGACTATTAATTTTCTCTATTTTTCAATTATCAACTTTTATCAAAATCTATTTTTTATCCCCACCAAACAGGGGCATAATGTTTACATTTCTTAATTAACATTTATTCTAATACAATTTAAAGAATTATTATGTTGATACTTATTAAATATTATATACTTGAATATGTCTAATTCAATATAGTTTTGTCATAATATAAGCATTTGAGGAAGGAAAGTCAAAATTATAAATAATTTTTTACTTCAAAACAAGTAGAAGTTACTTGAAATTAATTTTGAACTTAATATTTTTCCGATGCTTCAACAGGATATATCATTTGAGGTTAGTTTGTTCTCATATTCAATGCTTGTGTGATAAAATTTTATTTTTCAATTGATCAAACTTCAAATTTATCAAATCAAATTTCTTTCCCTTTCACCATGACGACGCAATGGACGAAGCAAATAAGAAAGTGCTAACCCAATATCAAGAACCGGGGCAAAGCTCTTTCAAACATTTGACGACTTTTATCAACTTTTCTATCACGCATGACATCAATTTTTATCAAAGTATTTAAACTTTTATCAAAAACTTAGTCAAGCAATCCCTCATTGTATCTCACTCACTTTTCAATGTGCATGCATAGGTATCAAAAAGCCATGTTTAGCCTGACTAAGGTCTCTATCACAGCCAATCTTGGGCCAGCATTTGGATACACTACTGTAGTGGCAAACCTAACTCTCCAAACCCAAGCCTTCATAGACCAGTCCACATGGGCCTAATTTTTTTTTCTATATTAAATAATTAACTATTAAAAATAAAAAATAAAAATGATGGAAGCCTGTCTGGGGCACAGCATAGTCGTCCAGAAGTGAAGGCCGCGGCATGACACCACATGTAGCCCTATTAGTCATGCATTGAGTTCCAAATCCGGTCATATAAATTTATAATAATACCAATCTAAAACAAAGTAAACTTTCAGAAATTCTGATTATGATCCAAAGAAAAACAAACAGTACAAGTTCAGGAAAATATTTTGTGCACAGTTGCAGTGTTTGGATTAATTGCCAATTGGAAATATATTCTCTCACTTCCAAAGCTTCCTCAAAGACATGTTCTTATCTGTTTCCTTCTTCATGACCTTAGCGACAGCCATTTCAAAGTCCTCCTGAGTCACATGAACCCTCCTCTCTCTCAAAGCAAACATCCCTGCTTCTGTGCAAACAGCCTGTAGTAAACCATTCACAATTTCAAGCCATCTTTCAGGCAAAAAGTTTCCAAATACAAACAAGGAAGAAAAACAAGACAAGACTTCAAAATTCAATTCTGCTACATCTGAGTGCAACTTTTGGTAACCAGTATGGTACAGATTTCTAAACAGTTAAATTAAGCCATGGGACGACATGCTTCAATTTGACCTTTTTCTAGATAAGAATCATAAGATCATGAGAAACAAGCTTGGTAGGATCACAAATATCAGCACTCAAAATATCAAACCTTTGTACATGAAAATAGACTTGCTCCGTTTTCCATCAATTATCTAAAGATGGTAACTCAATTTTATTATCAGAGGACATTCTCACAGGAAGAGTTCTACTGTCCACTCTCGTCATAGTCCAGCTGAAATTACTGAATGAGAATAATTATCACACACGAAGTACATTACATATTTAAATGATTTTCCCATATTTTGTTCAATGAAATAACTAATGCATACAAATTTCAATTAAGGCAGATACTAGTACAAGTAGCTAAAGCACAGTTAATTAACTTGCATGAGCTTGCATTCATGATAATTGATTTGTCTTGATGCAGTTGAGGAAAAGGTTCTCATTATAATTTGGTCAATAAACAAAAAGCTCCCCACATAAACAGAATATTCCAATCCCTAGTATCATCAAGACATAGGAAATATATTGTAGAGATACCGCCTTTACACTCTACAGTACTCGGCAACAAATAAGAGGATGTGCAACTAAACATCCAGACACAAAAATTTCTTCAAAGAGAAGTCACAACTTTAACAAACAAGGGTCAATCATTGACATATGAAGTTGCAAGTCGACGTGAACATGCATATGCAAGTTGGAAGTAGCAAGTCCATAATTTCAAGAAATTAATGCTTTCTAACTGATCAATGTAACTAAAAATCCCAAACATACCTTAAGTTCTGCACCAGATGCACCATTCATTTTCTCAGCAATCTTCTTCAGATCAATCCCTCTCGTCAAATTCATTTTCCTTGAGTGTATCTTCAAGATGTCAAACCGAGACTGTAATTGGTTGTGCACAATTAGACACGCGAAGATCCAATGGGTGAAATCTATGATACTTAGACTCGGGTACAGATATCGAGTACGTAACCAAGCGTCGAAATCTTTCATTTTCTAAAATGTAGGATACAGGGACATGACTAAAAAGTGTCCAAATTCCGGACACGAGTACGTAGGTATATTTTTCAAACTTTAATTTTTTTACTAATACAAGATTAAATAGACAAAAATCAATTATTCACAAAGAAGAAAATAAGTATTGAATAAGGGGTTAAAACGAATAAAATAAAATTTTGGGATTTAGTTTTCAATTATAAAAATTACTAAATGTTATATAAGTTAGAAAATGTGAGAATTGATTGTAATTTGAACTTAGTGGAGCACTGCGTAGCACTATATGGAATCCATTTTCATTTTATATAAACAAACCCTAAACCATCGATTGAGAGAAGGAAAAAAAGAAGAAAGTAAAAAGAAAAAAGAAGGGAAAACCTAGCGCCGCTGCCTTCTTTCTCCAACATCTCGGTGATGAAGCTAGATTCATAGAGAGCAAAAACGAGAAAGAAGAAAAGGAAAAGAAAATAGAAAGAAAGAAGAAGAATAAAAAATGACGAAGTCTCCGGTTGAAACGTGAAGAATCCGACACATATCTCATACACATACTCATATCGTGTCAAACACGGTTACTCCGACAATTTCAATGAGTCTGAGCATTAGAGGGTAAAATCACTATATCAAAGCCAAATTATATTACTGAGGAGAAAATTAACCTGAAAAAAGTTCAACATTGCACCAATTTCTGTTTATAGTCATATTAAAGATATGTTTGACACCCATTTTAGAGAAAAAGTAAATTCTGGAATAGTGATTGATGGAAGAATGTGTGGTTAAAAAGTAATGATAATTTTTGGGTTTATGTGTAATATTATTTTATTGATAGAATGTGTGGTTGAAATGAAGAAAGAAAAAAAAAAGAAAATGAGAATTAGAAGAAAACGGGTGTCAAACAGGGGCTAACTAGTATAAACTAAGATTAGAAAAATTTAAGGCAGGCAATATACAAAAGATTTATTAAGTGGATCATATCGCATGTGATGCGTACCTCTTCATTGGGATTTGGGAACTCAATTTTCCTATCTATTCTTCCAGGCCTAAGAAGAGCTTGGTCCAGAATGTCAATTCTATTGGTTGCCATCAATACCTGTACATACCAGTTATACATAGAAGATTATCTCTTTTTGCATTTTCTAAGCAAATTCAACCAATTTAAAATCAGTTCAATTCAAAAAGGAAGTAAAGGCTGTATATGAAGTTGGCAAGAAACATACTTTTATCTTGTTAGATGCTTCAAATCCATCGAGCTGATTGAGAAGCTCCAGCATAGTTCTCTGAACCTCACTATCCCCATTGCCACTTCCAGATTCCATGCGAGCAGATCCTATGCTATCAATTTCATCCATGAAGATGATTGATGGAGCATGCTCTCTGTCAAGAGACGAACAATAGTTAAGTGCAGACAGGTGAAAAGTGAAAAACAAAAAGGGCTGAAAGGAAAAAAGAGCATGCCTTTGGAACAAATCATACATAAACAATGCTGGAGGCAAAAAGAACTAACCTGGCCATTACAAAAAGTTCTCTAACCATCCTTGAGCCTTCTCCAATGTACTTCTGGACTAATTCAGAGCCCGAAACTCGAATGAAAGTGCAGTCAGTGTGGTGAGCCACAGCCCTTGCAAGCAGTGTTTTACCTGTGCCTGGAGGCCCGTAGAGCAAGACTCCCTTCAACAATTCAAAGCAGTGAATCCATTAGATAAGGCTTCCAAAATTTAATGAAATTATTTTTACCTAATTATTGCCGATAATTACCTTGGGTTGGGCAATTCCAAGACTCTCAAACAACTCTGGATGTTTTATTGGAAGTTCAATGACCTGTAAAAAATATGAGAGTAGGGGACTAATTAGAAATGATAAATTTAGCATACATCAGGTTATAACAAATGAAGGAAATAAATCATGGCAAAACTTTAAAAAGTAGCAATTGCAAAATTCTCTACATCCACTGAAAAGACACTTTGAAATACTAGGAATAAACACAAATTTAATGTTCCAAGAAACTTATAGTAGGTCACAACTACCATGCCAAAAAGAAGATGCAAGTCAACAATAAAGAAACCACGTAAAAAAGGGAGGATAAGTGTTGGTGTCACAGTTACATTTTACTGGAAAACGTATTTATTTACAAGACCTTTTTAATATACATCAGACGCCCTTCTATGGTGATATTTCTGAGCACTTTATGTTATCATATTCAGTTTCAACCTAAAGATTTTCATAACTTGACCTGAGCAGAAAAACTTTTATCAACATTAATACATTCTTCCTTAGATTTGCAAGAACCAAAAAAAAAAAGTAAGTTTTATTAATTTGGAATCAACTGCATGAATTTTTTTTTTTTTTTTAACACTCCATTCATTGGTACATTCACCAAAAAAAAAATCAAAGAAATCAAATCATTAGCAACCACTCCTAATCATTTCAGAATTTTCCTATAATCTCATCCCTCTTATGGAAGAAACTTCTTTACATCTATGCAAGTCAAAAACATACCACAAACATAATTCCCTTACTATATTTGATTGACACCTCCATTTGTTGAAATATATTTTCATTTATTGTTCTATCCATTCTAATATTGCTACTAATTCATCCTCATTTCCACTACCTATGGGTTGGCCAACCTTCTGTTTAAAAGAATAGAATCTTAGTTAAGAAAACAAGACCCGAGGCACAAAGGCAGTAAAGGTAAATATGATTTACTGCTAAAAGTAAAAAGGACTAGTGATTACATAGACTAAAATAATCCGTGGGAAGCCTCTTCTTGATTGTCTGAGTCAATTTGACTGAAAAGAATATATACGTGTGAAAATTGGAAAAATGAAGAAATACTGGGGATAGACTTCACTCCAGTTGATGAAATAAAGAGAATAGAGAACAGAAGGTTCAAAAACAGCATTCCAATCAGGGTTGCGGATAAGGCAGATGAACAATGTCATTATGCAAATAATTAACTTGTGCTACTGCTACTCTCTCCAGCTGGACCTTGGAAAGCTGTAAAAATATAATGAAGCGTCTCTAAAGTGAAGTTCAAAAATATGTTAAAAATACATTGAAACGGCTAGAAAATTAGCACTTGCAAAGTTTATATCGCTGAACAGTAAAAGATATAACACTTGGACCATGAAAATATGTAATACAAAGAGATTATGAATGAGCAATCTATTTAATTACTTCCCTTTTTAAAAGAAAAAAGAAGAGAGAGGAACAAGTTGAGATTGCAGATGCCAAAACAGCATGGATGGGAAAATCTTTTAACTTTTGAATATGTATATATACAAGAAATATTAAATCAAAGCAACCAATAAAAAATTTAAAGATATGCACCTCCTTTATCTCTTTAATTTGCTGATCAAGACCACCAATCATGTCATAAGTAGAGTCTGGAACCTTTTCAACTTTCATGAGGTTCACCAATGGATCGACTTTACTAGGCAAGATTAAGTGGAGCACATAGCTATCATTGCGTAAAGCAACCCTCATCGAGGGTGTAATCTTAGTGATATCAATGTTCTTGTCAATATCAACAACATATTTTCCTTCAGGGTGGACCTAAGCAAAAGAAAGCACAAAATTTCACTTCTATATGTCAGTCTACTCTCAGAAAAGAAAAGAAAAATGAATGCAAAATCCCAACATAGTGTGTGCCATAGATTTGAGACAGATTACAAGCTGACACAGCCTAACAAAGGGGAGTGAAATCCTTTGATCCCCTTCATAGATAGAAAAAAGAAAAAGGTCGCCACCATTCAATATCATTTATTCCCCAATCATTAAAGAGAACAAGCACTTAGCTTTATAGCAAAAATTATCACTGACCTTGACCAGGACCTTTGATTTTCCCATAACTTTGACAACTTCCCCAACATATGATCCAGGCTCCTGAAGAAGCTGCAGTTCTTCCTTCAGTGATCTCACTGTCCATCAAGGAATTGCCCCAAAACAAATCCAGTACACGTGTTAGATTAAAATAAAATAAAATAAAAATAAGGTTCTTAAACTCAAACCATCTTCGTATTGGTAATCTTAAATTGAATCCACATCCTTGACCATACAAATGATTAAGATGCAAGAAAAAGGAAACTGCTTTCCTATTTACCAAAATGTATAAAGAAAATACATAATGCCTCCTCTAGCCACGGAAATGTACAGCACAAATTATTACGTTGGAGAAAATTTTGCCACTTGAATGGTGCCCAGCGGACCACAAAATTGCTGACAAAAATATCTGTTTCGGAATTCAAAGAACTACGTACAGAAGACATAAGTTCAGTTTTACAGAAATCTGGTTTCAGATAACATGCAATTCTCGAAATCCATATCTAATAATAAATGTAAAAATATATATACTTTCCTGCCCTTTTGTTCCAAGTAAGAAAAAATATCCTACCTGTCCATTTTAAACTATTGAAACGCTTCATTGACATAACCTCAACTAAAATTGCTATAACAAAAAGAAAAATCCCTATTCTAGGGGCCAGTACTAACGAAATGATAATATAATTTACGAAATGACCACCTCCCGGTTAACAAGAGACCCGTCTCCAAAAATATAATAATAATAAACTAAAATATCATCAATGAACTATGCTACTTTAAATCAACCGATATTCACAAAAAAAAAGGGTCAATTCTACATTTTAGGGTTTAAGAAAAAGGCCATAATTATGATACAATGTACAGTTCAAATGAGGAAGTAAAAACCTCGGGCATTGAGGTCGTTGCGCTGAGCTTCGAGACGCTGAAGATCGTGGTCTTTCTGNCGAGACGCTGAAGATCGTGGTCTTTCTGGCGGACTAGGAGCTGCAGATCCTGTATGCGTTGCTGATAGTACTGCCGAAGCCCTTCTCCGCCGCCAGACGCGCTTTGCTGGTGGTGGTTTTTTACCTCCTCCGCCTGCCGAGTCTCTATCGCCGCCGTCGCCATTCGAATATACACTCGAAGTCTGATCAAATCGGAACTACAGGATTTCGTCTCCTCCAAGTTATATTTGGACACGCAAATGCTCCGGTTAATTCTCTTTGCTCATATATTTTGGGACACGGCTTTGCCACATTTTTTATTATAAATATTAGGAAAAATTGCAGTGGGGTCCCAAACCTTTAAATTGTTTGCAAACTATACCCAAATCTTTTTATTTTTGCATCCACAATGTCAAACCTTTCACTTCAACTACATTCGAGAACAATGGACAAGATCAATCCATTAATCCGTTAGTCGACCCGAAAATTAAAAATTTGACTGAACTTGACAAATTAAATAAAGGATAAAATGGTAATTTTATATTTTTTTATAATAAAATAATTAAATCAAAAAATAGAAACAAATGAACTGCCCATCTTCTCCAAACTCCCTCACTTCATCTATCCTCAAAACCAAAAATCAGAAAATTAGTCCTACAACAAAAATGGCATTTTGTAACATATAAAATGCAACATTTGTTAATTGATTATTGTTAAAGGGGTATAACGCAACATTCTCATATACACCTAACGATGCCTTGAGAAATAAAAAAACTTTTGCCATCTCCCAATCTCCCTGTCGTTCATCCACTCCCAAGAATCCAAATCTCCAATTTCAAGTTACATAATACATGAAAAAAGAATATGTAATCTATAATTTAATATTTTTTTGTGTTGGAAAATTGTGGAAGATGTTCACCATTTTTCACTGTTATAAATGTTTCTTTGTTGTGTTTTAAATTAAATTGCATTGGTAAATTCAGAGGAAGATGGATGACTTATGAAAAATCTGAAACTAAGCATATTCCTGTGACCTGATAGTTGATTCTGTGTTATTCTGTTGCAAGACATACAAAATGACCTTCTGGAATTTTGTAGTTATAGTAGACTGTTAGATGCATTAATTGAACCTTGATTTGGCAATTGTAGAACTTCAAAAATTTCTTGAAAGTTGGCTGATATGCAGATTGTATAGAAATTAATGCTTTAGCATTGTGTTCAGGGACATATTTGATTGCGTGTGAGTCGCAGGTTTTAGAAAAAGCCTTCAATTTGGGTTTGATATGATTTATTGTTTCAAATGCATATTTTACTATATATGATCTAGAGTTTATTTAATTTTGATATACAGATTAATCTATAGTTGTTTAAATAACATGAGGTTAACTTGTTTATGGAGAAAATGTCAAAATTTTATTATTCAATAAAAATAGTAAATAATATATTTGATAGAAACTGACCCGCCGATCTAATCACCTAGTCACCGGTCGAACTGTTGACCCGTTACATTGTCCAGGTCAGTGTTCAGGTCGGATTTGACAACTATGTAAATAATTTCACTCAAATCCAAAAAACTTTTAAAAAGTTACGGAAGCAAAACATGAATTGAAGTGTTGTTATGAGGTCGCTGTGCAATGAGTATTGATTTTGGTTATTGATGTATTGACTAGTCTCATTACAAACGTGTATGAGTTCTAGATATGTATCTCTTTTATTTTTTGGGTTGTTGATTCGTGGTGGTTACGGGAATTAGCCCTTTTAGTTATTTTTCCGTGTTGTATACAAGAGACTTTGGTATGTTTAACTCTTAGTGGAATTTTCTTTTCTTTTTTATCTAATTAGTGTTGTAATAAATGTTTATATATGGGTGATTTGAATAATTGAATCTGTATTGTTTGTCTTGGTATGGATTTGAAGCTGGGGATTTCGTGCTAATCCAACCTTAAAAAATGATTCCGACCCAAATGTAGCACACATAGAGAAGATCGGGGGAGATAACTGCTACAATAGGTCAAAGCAATCAGTTCCATGGAAGGAAGGAATTATTCTCCTCGGATCGCTATGAAATTCAACAATTATTTTACTCAAATTACTATGCAAAGAGGATTCCATCGAGAGCAAGTACATTGTTCATACTTTCAACAATTATACCAAACTAGAGAATGTCGGGCTCGAGATTTATTATTTTCAATTTCAATATCCAGGGCCGGCCCTGGCCCAAGGCAAACAAGGCCATTGCCTTGGGTCTCAGATTTTAAGGGGCCTCAGAAAAGAGGCCCAGACACCTACTGACCCATTAAAAAAAAAATTCTTTTCAAGAGGAAACCCAGGAAGAGAAGCAGACGATCAGAAGAAGAGTCCTCCACTCCTCCTCCTCGAGACTCCAATTGAATCAATGAATCATCATCAATTCTTCGCTCTTCAATTTTCAAGAGTCATTCTCCTCCAAACTCAGGAAAACGATTTCTCTATTCCCTATTTTCCGTTAATATCTCGC